GTGATGTAAGCATCTACTAGAACATGTGCCACTTTATAAAAATATGCTATCGTAAGGAAGTCACTTACTTAATTTTTTGGCCATAAAGGAATCAACTATCACCCATTGAATATGTTCAAGTTAATCACAATATTGCCGACACTTGATGACATGCTTTCGCCTCGCGTACATCATGTTTTGTTACTCTCTCATGTGCTACCATTTTGAGGAGAGATTCATGCAACTAGTTTTTAGTCCTAATAGCGTTATAGTCTAATAAACGATTGCTATGTATTTAAAAAGTGCACACATTATCTAAAAAATGATTGACACGTAGTGAATTGGTTGCATGATAGAATCTCTCTATTTTGAGATACAATGGACTAATGCAACGAAGGTTTTAGCTACACTTTAGCTTTTTTGTATCACAAATTGTATTATCATCAGCTGCTTAAGCATAAATAACTAATAAATGTTTGATTAGTGTAATGCGAGTTTTGTGTTTAGTTTGGCACCCATCAATGATATACCTCACATTATAACTTAAGCAATGTGTATTATATGCTAAATTTGATCTAAAGAAAAGCCTTCATCAAGCAATTCTAGGTTTATGCAAATCTAGCTTATTAGATATATTTTCCTTTTGTCAGAAAAAGAAAAAGAGGACAAAAGGTTAATCTAAATCATAAAAAATGAAAAAAAAAAAAAAAAACAAAGAGAAAGAAAGTATGCATATACATATATACACATATATACATCACACAAACACATATGTGTGTGTGTGGGGATTTGGCAATAATAAAAATAATAATGTGAGAAACACACAACGTGGAATTCTGACAAGACTAGTTGGCAAAATAGGACATTGCAATGCCTTTAGATACAAACTGCCTGGTATATATTTACCATGGAGAGCAAGTGCCAAGTGGGTACTCCTCCAATTGAACATGGCCAGCTCTTTTCGAACAATACTTGGTTGTTGAATTTTCAGCAGCCATTCCTACCTTTATCCAATCAAATTTGAACACATGTCTAGCTTTTGTTTACAATTTCAATTATTTGGACAGTGTCCAAATCTGATTGAATAAAAACAGGAGTGGCTGTTAAGTTTTTTTTAGCAACCAAGAATGGTTCGCTCTCTTCACTCTTTTGCACATCATAACTAGGGCATATGCTCTCCTTGATTGCCCCCTAGAGCCCTACCCAAGAAATAATAACATTAATTTTTTTTCCTTCTTATATGATATCCTTGTCAAGTAATTAAATGCAATGCTTAAACCATCACAAATAGTTGTTTAAATACCATTTAGTTTACTGGAAGTTGTCTTGGATACGATTCATGCATCTAGAAGTAGTCTTGGGTACGATTCATACAAATGCAGTGACAATATATTTTGTATTGAGTTCGATACTTGATTATGGCTAACTCCATTATGATTGCGCTATCTCTGTTGAAAGTGTGCTAAATCTCATTGTAAAAGTATTCTTGTAAAACTTCTATTGCTTGCATGGTTAGCCAAAAAATAAAAACTAATGTATTTGACCACACAAAAATAGAAGTAAAGCCTACCATTAAGTGTACTATTATACGCCCAAACACACAATGTGTGTGTGAAATTTTTTATTTTGTGTATTTAAAATTGAAGGATAGTGGAAGTGAGTGAGAGAGAACGTGGGAGTGGGGAGTGAGGGAGAGGTTTATTTTTTTTTTATCATTTTTTTAATTAGAGATGTTAAAATCACTTGCATGCAAGGCTTAAACAAAAAAAGCAAAATTTTGTTTTGTAAAATTACACTATTGCTCTTAACTTTTTTTGTTATGATAAAAGACTAAATAGTTTTTTTTATCCTCTTTTAGTTGACAAAGAACTATTAATATGTAGTTTAGATGTAGAATATATTAGAATGTGGCACAGATGTATTAATTTTGTGTGTCTATATAGCAGTATTAAAACAAAAATCGTATATTTAGTCTTGCTTCTAGTAAACTTCATATTTGTTGTTGGGTAATGCTAGGTAAACTAAATTTGTAAACTAAATGATGTGTCACTGATACAAAATAAGCACATTAATTAGCACTTGAGTAATAATCCAATCATCAATTTTTATATCATTTAGTTTACATAATTTAGTCTATACTAGTAAGTATAAGTATTGGTGACCAAAAGTCTAATAAAAGATGGTTGTACCCTCCAATTAATCAGCCCATTGTTTTCTTGCCATATTAATATTATCTCTTATTACGGCTTAGTGGTAATCCTCTTCATTTGTAAGTAAGAGGTTTTAAGTTTGATTCTCGCCAAAGGTGAATTTGAACCACATTATTGCTAGCCTATTGTGAAGCTTAACGCCTTAGCCCACTCCATCACCCCCTTAGACTTACTCCAACTCTTGGAATAAAACTCAAATTGTAGTCACTTAGCACTATAGTCTAGTGATATTCTTCTTCACTTGTAAATGAGAGGTCTTAGGTTCGATTCTCGCCAAATGCGAATTTGAACTACATTATTACTAGCTCATTGTGAAGCTTAGCCCACTCCACCTTCTCTTAATATAAATAATATTGTTTGTTAAAAAAAAAATATCTCTTAGTGACAGACCTATTACCCGCCAGAGCAACTTGCTTTGCTTTCGAAGTTTCCATTAAATATTTTACATCCATAAAAAAAATAAAAAATAAAAAAAACTAATTTACCTAAGTAGACAATTGTTGACAACTTTTCAACTTAATTAAAAAAAATTGCTCTTTAAAAAACAGCTTAGTCTCCCTTGTGTTATATTAATTTTATCTAAACTACAATTATTATTACAGCACCTGCATTGGAAGTTTACTACACTGGATGGAGGTCTCTGAGACAATCATTGATACAAGTAAAGAAAAAGTTAAAGACAGACAATGACACTTGAGATGCAAGTAATCACTAAACCATGATAGGCTACTTTATAATTTTAACCTCTTTCTCCAAAATTAAACTTATCTTTTGATCAGTTAATTAGTTAAACTACAACAAGTGTTATAAATAGGCAAAAGTTATAGAGATAACCTTTATTAATGACATGAGCGAAGCATGTGTAAAATATCACATTGTAACTATAATACAAGAGGATGACAAATAAAAGAAGGAGGGATAGATACTAATGTTATTGATATTTTCTTCTTCTTAGTTTTTCTTGAAAGCATACGGAGCGCTCTATTTATAGAGCAACTCCAAACAAACGTATTAACTATACATTGAAATTTACAGCACACACCTTTTGACAATACAATTCTCCTTCATTTCCCAAGTCAATATCACTTTGTGTGAGTATTAAAAAATCTACTAATGTTTTCAATATCACTGTAGACATTCATTAGCCTACCAATATTTTCAACAACAAGGCAGTAGTAAAGGTGAATACTAAGAAGCTGATGAAATTACATACAATATAAGACATTCATATCATCATTTGGTGATTGAGACAAGGCATGAAAAGTGTAATTAAAATGTTCCAGAATGCCCTTCCCTCCTTGCCGGAGAAGCCTTTAGGACAAATGGTTTGGTGATTGAGTGATGTTTTGTTTCCTTAAATCTTGTAAAACCATTTGGTTTATCAACAACACAATTATCAAGTTTTACTCCACTAATTGAGGCCTGTTGTATAAATTCTAGAACGTTATTGAACTCGATTTTGCACTAAGCCTTTCGTTAGCTCTAATTACTCCGTATCTTTTCTTATAATCTCTTTCAAAGTCTTACTAATTAAGTCTTCATCTAACCCATTTGCTCTAGGTCTCTGTCTCAGAGTCACATATTTTTATCGGAGCATTTGTAGGTCTTCGTGTGTCTACACATCCAATGAAGCATTATGATCTTTGCTACACTAATTTTTTGCATGTGTTACTTTTTGACTGCCCAACATTTTGTTCTATAAAGCATCGCTGACCTTATTGTCATCCTATAATATTTTTCTTTGAGTATTAGTGGCAAACGACGATCGCATAACATACTGATTCACTCTTCTATCCATCCAGCTTGTATCCTATAGTCGAAATCTTCATTTAATTCTCCGTAATTTTATAAGATAGATCCAAAATAATAATAACGTAGACGCTTTGATACTTTCTCATATTCAATCCTCACTCCTATGTCTTTGGTACTTCTTGATACTCTGCATCGTCTGGTCCTTTCTATTGTCGACATACCAAATGTTCTTTTGTCAATAAATTTGCGTTGTCAGTTGTAAATTCAAACCGTACAAAATATCTGACCTAGTTAATAGTTCAGTTTTACAATCATATTGTGTAGCAAGATAGTTCATTATCCCATCTCTTAGATCAATATTGCAATGCATATATAACAGAAGCGTGCAGGTAAACTTTTTCAGTAAAAAGATGTGAAAGATATGGTAAGTGGTGTGCTGTAAATAGCCAACCAATGCACTTCATCAATTTTCTTGGATGCTGCTTCTAGTGCTTTATGTCACAGCCCACAATTTCCATATGTAAGTGGGGTCCTTAGAGCGACAAATCTCTGACTCTGAGTCAGACAAGAAACGTGCATGTCCCAGACTTTCTGTTGCACTACATTGCATGCTGGTTATCAATTAATAATCATTAGTCAAGTCAGAGTTATCTAAAAGAGAACGACTTATACCGTCTACTGTAACAGTGTACTCGTATTGTAAATCTTTCTCATGGTAAAAAGTTCCCACAAAATTCAGTAGGCCTAAAGAAATTTAATGAATCATTAACCATTTCTTAAGATGATCGTATACACCGCTATTTTGGTCACTAGATTATTGTTCATTGAATACTTAATTAAACATCCAATCATTCATTGCTCCAATTAAATGTTATATACTACACCATAATAGAATTTTCTAATTTCTTCCATTATAATTGAAAGAGTTTGCCATACCTAATGTAGTCACCAACACACAAGCAAATAGTCGACTCCTAGTCGTTGATGCATGTGACGATCACACTGCATCAACGGCTAAGAGTTGTCCTGCCAAAAAATGGTTATTTTGTAAAAATTGGATTGGTACAATCTAAAATCACTACTCATATATGATGATTATCAAATGATAAGTAAATTCTGATTACAAGTTTAACTAATTTGTTTTCTTTTTCCAACCCAAGAGCTTATTCCCCACAATCCAAGGAAAACTATAAGAGGCAAACCAAGAAAGAAGAACAAAACTTCACAATTACAAGCAATCCATTTAAAAGAAAAATACTACTATCTCCTTGTCCTTGAAAAGAAAATGACATCTGCCTCTTCCTTCACAATTCACACTGTATAATGTATTCAACCATTCGTTCTTTCTCTGAAAATTTCCATGTTTACTCGAACGACGACATGAGATTCGTTGAGGAAGACGCAGTAAGAACCTTTCCTTTCCTTTCCTTTCCTTTTTTTTTTTTTGCCGGCAAGATGAGTTTTAATGAACCCCACTTACTTAAATCTGTGTTGAAGAGGAGAGAGATGCTGGCATGGCATGAGAAACAATAACTGACCGGTCTGTGTCAATAAAACCTATATAGAATTTAACCACGAAGCGCTGCCACTAAGAGCTGGGGATGATGGTTCCAACGTAGCCAAATCCGCAGATCAAGAACGTAATGGTTTGGAGGAAGAGGTATACGAAGTAGTTGTTCTTCCCGTGCACAAAGTCGTAGCATCCACAGATGAACAGAAACACCCCGAATCCCAGCTCCAAAAGGTGAAGCCTGTTAAAAATTAAAATTGAATATTAGGTGAGAATGGTAATAAAAAAATAAAGAGTATACGAACAATCTCGGGATGCTTTCTTGTATATTAATAAACTTATCAACGTTTATAAAACAACGCAAAGATTTGTTGAAAAAAAAAAAAAAAAAAAAAAAAAAAGTTAAGGAGCATGTGATTGGTTTTGTGCCAATTCTTAGAGTTATGCAGAAGAGACAGAGCTCTCTGTTTGCCAGTTAAAATGTGGTGTCAATGCAAATAGTTACAAATTTCCATGCACATTGCACATGACAAAATAAAATAAGCGTACCAGAAAGTCTGCGGTAGAAAGAACAAAAGGTTTTTAACGAAAGTTTACCTGTTTCCGAACTTGAATCGTGGTCTTTTGAAGAGTTTGCTGGCAGGTTTAGTCTTGTTAGCATCTGCTGCTTTGTTCTTGGCAGCCTCTGCTGCTTTGTTCTTGACAATATCTCCAAGCTTTTCAGTGACAACCCACTCGTTAGATCTCGCAGTTTCTAGCAGGCCAATCAATGTCGCCTTGGTGCGGTGCAAAGACATCACATTCTCAAAAAGAATCCAGTAAAACAGAAGGTGAATTGACCTGTAATTTTCAAGAAGAATATTAATATGTGAATCCTATAAAAGAACACGTAACAAAAGACAACTGATCAAGAAATCAAGTGCGAGACCTTGGGGTTCCAACGGAGTTTAGAATGGTGATGATGGAAGGAATATATACTGCTCCCCAGATTGGAACATAAACTTCAGGAACCAAAATGGTCAGAGGAAGTACAACACAGTAAAAGAAGAAGGTCACCATGTGAGCAATGATCTTCCGGACAAAGAAGAAACTGTATATGGTATAAAATTTCTTCCACACTGTAACTTTCTGCAGCTCCATACGAAAAACACAATTAGAAGATATAAATAAGAAGGAAGAAGGAGAAATCTCATTAGAAAAACACAATGAACTCACCTTAGTTTTGATAATCTCCATCGCCATTTTCCTAAACAGATTAGCAGGACCACATGACCATCGGTGCTGCTGGAAACGGAAGGCATTGAAAGTACTAGGAAGTTCACTTTTCACCTGAAACAAACAACATGATCAGGAATTGTGCTCATGTCATGTAATTAATTTCCCTAAAACTTGAAGCGCTACGGACAAACCACATAATTTGTACAATGCAGTATACCTGTAGGTCACCGAGATACAAAAATTTCCAGCCTCTCAGACTAGCACGAACAGCAAGATCCATATCCTCCACTGTCGTTCGGTCTTTCCACCCTCCTGCCTCATTGATAGCAGCAATTCTCCATACACCAGCAGTCCCTGCAATGTTTTCATATGTCAACTACAAGATTACAAATCTAAAAATAAATAAATACAGTAGAAAGTTACTGGAAGATGAAGTAATTAGTAATTACTGTGACCTTATTAGTAACTTGACAATTAGATTCTCAGTTGACTATCTGTATAAGACCTTAAAATTTACTTGTGTTTTAAAAGTCAACGTCTGCATCGGTATGATTTTAAGCCAGAAGTCATCCAGACTAACCAGTGCATTGTTTAATCCAAAACATATTAAATCAAAACTTGATGATGATTATGTAAATAATTATGATGAGGATGATGGCAGCATAACATGGCTGCCTGCATTTGCAGACTTGGTCAATTTTCTACTTTTCTCATATGTTCCGTTCACTCTCACACACCAACTATTTTGCGTTTTTAATTAATAAGCAGCAAGAAAAGAAAGAGACATATTACTGGAAATAAAATTTAAAAAAAAAAAGGACAAATGGTTTTTGAAAAAAAATGAAAATTTAGAGGCCTTTACCATTGAAGCCAAAGAAGGCATGAGTTGCTGAGCCAACTTCTTGCTCAACTGTGAAATGGTAATCCAATGACATCTCTTGCATTCTTGACAACAAGCACTCATCCGCATTCACTGCAAAACAAAACATACCAAAATTTAGCATTGGAGCGACGGTGTTCAAAACTATTCTAAATTACGAAGAAGTAAATTCAGACACTCTTTTGTCCGACTGACCTCACTCGCATATGAATACTGATAGAAGAAAAAGAACGTGCACAACGTAAAATAAGTAAAGTAAATTCAAAGAATTAGATAATATGTGGACCCCGTCAATAATAGGAAAAGTGGGGAGTTGGTCTCGTGGTCACGTAATACAAACGAGGGTCGGCCACGACAGCATGAGCACAACATACCAAAGTGTCGGTAAAGCAGAGAAAGAGGTCCACCACAGGGCTAACTGCCCCTCCAGTTTTAGCAAAACACCACGTGGACAGTGCCCTAGCAAACAAGGGTCACCCTTGGGGACAGGTAAAATGACGTAACTGCCCCAATTACTTTCCGGAAATTGACCATGTTCCGGCATCTCGCAGAGTAGTTGACCGTTTAAACCGTACAATCCGGGGTTCACCTAACCCAACTTATAATGTCAACAGAACCACCTTACTTGTTTTGCAGCAAAATGACAAACCTACCTCGCATGTCCAGCATCTGATCGTGCCGGATCACATGAAGAAGGTGACACTGGCTTTTGTGACTTAGGGGAGGATAAGGATTCATATCCTATGTTAAAAGGACTCTCACGTCATTTAAAACTAGATTAAATCATTTTCTTGTCAATATGACATGTTACGTTGTTGTGTTGTCAAACATGTGAATCACGACCAAAACGTGAATTGGAATCACGGCTTTACTCTATACAGTTATTCCACCGACTCGATTAACAGTGTGACTATATACCATATAACACAAAAATATTTGTCTTTAAATTAGGCCAATTGAAACGTAATCTGAAAGAGAGACGCTGATTAATGGCACTAAAACTGACAAATTAAATAAGAATCACACTAATTTTGTGTCAGTACTTCCTGATATGGGTCCCAATCCAAACCCTTGTGTAGAAATAATGAGACATTTTTCAGGAACACGACTAGTACACTAAGTATTATAATATAAGTGATTGAAAATTTTTGCTTCTTTTAAGTATTCAACAACTTTTAATATCATACCAAGAATAGAAGACATAGCCAAGAAGGGCTGCTAAGTGGGCCCGACCGCGTGACTAATGCAAACTACCAACAAACGAACCCGCCGACGAAAAACAAAACCCAAAGAAAAGGAAAAATCCAAGAAAACCAGACCACCGACACTCTCCGGAAAAAAATAATTAGCGCAATTAAATCGTAAATAAACCAAATAATATCATATAATTAACGATTTAACAATAACAATAAAGTAATTTTAATAATTAAAAATCAGATATTGGAGTTAAAACTCAGAAATTAATTACCGAATCTCCATCGAGCTTGAACCAAGGCAATGTCTGGGTTGTGGACCAAGAACGGGATGGCTCGCCGGAGGTAGTCGGGCTCGGGGCGGAAATCGGCATCGAAGATGGCGACGTACTCGCAGTGTTTGACGTAGCTGCGTTTGAGTCCTTCCTTCAGGGCACCTGCCTTGTAGCCTCCCCTGGTTTCTCTAATTTGGTACCTTATGTTTATCCCCTTGCTTGCCCACCTCTGGCATTCCAGCTCCACCATTTGCTGCAAAAAATTACAGATTATTTATTTGCCGATTTTATTGAAACACCCCTTGCACATTGTGAATTGGAACAACCCCATGTCAGAAATTGGGTCTGAAATCAAAAGGGTTGATCCAAAACATTCAATTATTGGTGTTTTTTCAGTGTGCTATTTTAACCAACACATTGAGATCTTTGGAGCTCTAACTAATGGACTAAAAGGAAGAGGACCCATTGAAAGGATGATTTTTTTAATTGGAGATTTGGGAGGATTGTTTTTTACCTTGATTGTAGGGTCGGTTGAATCATCAAGGACTTGGATCACGAGACGATCCGACGGCCATGAAAGTCCACAAGCAGCTCCAATGGAGACCTTGTAGACCTGCCCAAAAAACACCACACTTTAAGGCTTTTCATTTGGTTTTTTCACAAACCCAGAAAATAAAAATGGCAAAAAACAAAGAGAATTTGATAGCAACAAAAACAAGCATATATATGACATATGTGTGTAAGAATATACCTCTCTTTCATTGAACATGGGGATTTGGATGAGAACAGGAGGAAAATTGGAGCTTCCCAGTTCAAGGTCGTCCTGAATGGGCTCGTATTTGTAGCGTTGCTCTGGTTTTTTCCAGAAGAGTTTGACGAGAACGATGACTACTCCCATATAAACCCTCTCAAAGAAGAGCATGAGAGACATGGCCAACGAGACATAGACCCCAACTGTGAGCAGAGGGACTATCAATGGCGCTTTGATTAGCTCCCATGTCAGCCCAATTTGCCCTGCAAATTCATATGTCCCTCTCTGAAACGTTTCTGGTATCAGAATTTGGGTTGTGTTATCAGCCATTGCACCCACTTCACACTCTCTCTCCTCTCTCTCTCTCTCTAGAAAAGAACGAGACAGAGATACTAATGAACAAACTGGTTGTTCAGATCTCTCTCTCTCTTGCTTTTGTATGAAATGTGAGCAATGTGAATGTGGCTCAAGGTTTTATATGAGGAAAAATAAAACAATGGGCCGGAAAATCCTTTGATTTCAGGAAAAAACCCAGAGAGGGAATTAACAAGGCACAAAAATACAGATTGGCTCTCTCTCTTTCTCTCTTCACTCAGAAGTAGAAAGTACAGAACAACAAAAGCTTTCTCTCTCTCTCTCTCTCTCTCCCCTCACTTTCTCTCTCTAAGATCTGTGCCAAACCAATGCCGGTTCCGCCTCTTGCCAAAATGCAGCAGAGGGCAGGACAGAGGTGTGGGAGCAAGAGAGTAGTGAGAGAGAGTATATGAAGGGACTGTGAGGGAGAGAGAGAAAAAGAGTCATTTTATAGTCAGTTTTGGTCCGATTGGGATTTGCATATTAATTTCTATTTATTATTTTTGTTTTCCTTCTTTTTTTGCCAGACTATTTGTATTCGAATTTACTCTGTTTTTTAGGTAGATATCATCGTTGAGTAATCAAGAGAATCCTCTTCCTTTTAACTGTTCCAACTCCAAGTGTGAGCCGATTCATTATTGCCCATCCTTTTACTTGCTTGTTGCAATTACATGGTATAATTTCTTTCTTTTTTGTCAAATGAAGGGGATATTAACTAATTTGACAATATATATATATATATTTAATTATTTACCAATTACTTTTACAATGGGTCTTTAACTATGCCACAACATATTTAATAAACTCGCGTATAATAATATATGTATTAAACACGTATGTATTTTTTTTTTAGGGAATTGTTATTGGCACTTCAAAAATCTCATTCTACACTCTAAACTTTTTATATTTGGAAAAAAAATACACTTATAGGAGTGTAAAATGAGATTTTTGGAGTGCCAATAACACTTCCCTTTTTTTATTAAACTTTCGTGTTCAATACTATGAATATATAAAAATAATTAACACTACAAAATACAATACCGTACCAAGTTCAATTTTCAAATACAACATTTATTTTCAATAAAATTTACGCATTAACATTAAGTATATTAAAACAATTATTTAAAAATCCAATTTTTTTAATTAATTTGAAAGTGCCGAATATACACATACTATTTTTCATGTAAACAATTTAATAACTATTTGTAGATAACTTATATACATCTAGTAGTATTCTTCACTATGAGTGGAGTCCAGTTACTCTGCGGATGAAAATTTGATTCACCATTGTGTAGTTATCTTAATCTGTGCACTTAATAATCATTGTATAAAAATCTACCCACAGAAGCACATGAGCCACAAGGTGTTAACGCTCAAAACTAGGAGGTCAACAAAAACAAGTATGGTAAACCTTCGGTGGGCTTTGGATATGAAGCTATTTTATGAACAACAAAAGAATTTAAGTGGTTTACCCCTAAAAAATAGGCTACGTCCACTATCATGATTTGATATATTTTGATGTGGATTACAAGAGCACTTTACAATAATGTAATGTAATTTTCTCTTCTTGATCCGACCGCTTCTAAGGGGTAATCAACCCTTATATATAGGACCTACGTGGGCGCCAAAAGTCTTGGGTCCTTAATTCGCTCACTATCCTATCACTTAATGGTCCAAATACATAAATATGACCTATAAGCTATCCCTCCATTATCCACACGACACGTGGAATGGAAGTGACATTTGCTCAAATCTAATTGCATGATTTCCCAAATAGACATGTACTGAGTGTATTGCTCACCCAAGAATGGTTCGTGGAAAATAAGGTGTTATTTAGATGATTGATTGTAACATCTTGAAGATTGAACTGGTTATAGTGTAGACTCCAAATTGTAAATAAACTTCAATCATCCATTTAAAAATAATGCAAGTACTTATGATGGACCATGCTAGATTTAAGAATTAATAATAACACGATCAAAGTTTACACATACCACTAATAAGGTTAGAAAAATTTAAGACTAAGATTTACAAACGTGATGGTTGTACTAGGTAACGTGAGTTATAAATTGTTGTTGAATAAGTTGTGATTTATTTTAGAGTATAAGAGTTTAGTGTAGAATAAACTTACGAATAAACTCAAGTATAAATTGTTGGATAAACTTATGAGTATGAAGATGATCTAGTGTATAATAAACTTACGATATTCTACACTAATATTCTACACTATAACGGGGTTAGTTAAAGTTACGAGTATAAAGTTGTTGAATAAATTGTTATCAAATAAATTATTGTCCTTGTATTTTGTAGTATTGGCTTTTATTTTTCCTCCAATAGACCTTACCCCTTTTTAGGGCTAGGTAATTAGTACTTGTGCTTACTTCTCTTTTAACTTTTTTTTTTTGCCCTTACTAGGCAAATTATTTAAAAGATAAGAGGGATGGGATGTCTCTCGAATGAGGGATGAATGTAGTTTTGGTAAGGTACAAGCCTTGTGTCTGTTCCTTAATTTGCCTTTACAAAAGAAAAAGGACCATCGAACATTTTATGATGAATTCATTTGGGACTACTACTATATCAACCCTTGTGGCCCAAGCTTTTAAAAATCAAAATCGTATGCTGAAAGCATATTCTGTGGAACAAGTCGGATTCAAGATTTATTTTCAGTCATTTTTTATTGTGCTAACTAGTTGTTACCTGTAAAATGCTTTTCTTGTCCAAGCTAACATGCTTGAAGATCCAAAACATGAGTTTAACTTTTTCTTGAGTAAAGGTTTTCAATTTACAATCTAATCCCCCAATCCGATCTATCTAATTCAATAAAAACTGTGGTTAATTTTGATGAATTTTTGGCTCGGTATGATCCCTAAATTTCAAAACAAATATGGCTTGGATTAGATGGTGAATTTGGTTGCGAGAAATCCAATCAAGGGCTCCCGGAGTGAGAGAGGTTAAGAGGAAAGTGATGTAATTTTGGCCAGGGGCGCTTTGACGCTTAAGTTAGTAATCTTGTAATTATTAAATTTAAAGTAGTAGATAAAGCCTAGATGTTCATACTTTGGTTTGTTCATAAGAAGCATTTATTAATTTAGTAGTGCAAAGGAGCTCCGTAAAATTTATAAGTAAGAATTCTTAAATTCGACTCTCATGAATAACGAGTTTAATATCATATTATGGTTGACCCATTATGGCTAACACAAATTGTACAACGAGAGGTTTGACCATGTTTCTTATAGTAGAAAGAGAAATGTTAAAGAGACTCTTAAAAGTAGGACTTTCCGTGGATTCTCTACCATCTCATCTTTTTTGCACAATGTTTTATAATGTTAGCACGAGAATTGTACCAAAGAGATGAGTTGGTGGAGAATTCATAAACAATCCCACTTTTGAAAGAGTCTCCTTAGCATTTCTCTAGTAGAAAACACACTCGACAATTATACAATTTATACAAAAAAAAAAAACAAATTAAGAATTCAAGGAAAGAAAAAAATGCCTCGTAATCATAAACAAAAAATGAAAGAAGAGTAAAACTCCTAATTTATCCATTTGTAATGCTCTAATCATTTTCCAATTGTGAATTTTTTGGTTGCATTTCTGTCATTATCAAGTTAATTTTTTCTTATTTAGTTTGATGTGTTTTCTCTAAATTTTGATGCTATCTTAGACTTGCATGTGAAAAGCTGTATTTACAGTAAAAGGGTGAAGAATTTAAGTTAAATCACACGATAAGTTAGCATAGTAATTTTATTTTAACTCATCATCGATGAAAATTGCCACTATATATGAAAACTAAAGCTCTTATTTTTCAAGGTCCTACCTTTCTTCTTTTCTCTTTTTATAGGGTTAAAATTCATAAACACATGCATGATATGTATCATATACCATTGCAACGTTAAAATTCATAAACCCATGCATGATCTGTATCGTATATCATTGCAAATGTTGAATGGGTCTGGTTGCAGCCACATGCCCTCCATTGCAAATGTGGTATGTATCATATATATGTGCAAGAACTTGAAAAGTCCTATTGAATTGACTGAATAATGCTCTGTCTAGAAAAAGACTACAATTATTCAGCTTGAAAGACTAGTTGTTGTGTACAAGATGAATTCAACTTCTCAGCTTGCATTATCAATGCAGTGAAAAGGGCCAATTTTTGTGTCAATTGTTAAACTTGTATCCAATCACTCCGCCCATAATGCACTAGACAAGGTGTTCGGTATTCTGGTTCAAGGATAATTTTATTACCACTTTCTCCTTTGTTGTGTAATAAATTTAGGGAGTAAGCGAGAAAACGAGAGAGAGATACAGAAGAGAGCTTTACATTTGTATGGCCTGAGAACATGTTCTCGCGACAAATTTGTTGATGTGGTGTCAGTATATTGTAGATGTCGCTATCAATACTGTGTCAATAATTTCGCTCGCTCCATGAACATTAGAGCGGTATCCCATATGGTTTCCGGAAAGAATGTTATTAACCTTTCTTCAGTTAGAAACTCAAATGATTAGATTAAGTACAAACATGTGAATTTATATGATCTTACAGCTGGTCAGAGAGGGATTAATTTGTTTTAATATATAGACAGCTAAAACACTAATAAGTTATGCAAGTATCGTCTTCCCATTTTAACAGCTGCTGCTGCTGCTGTGCATACATTGGAACGTGAAATATGCTAATGAGACCCAAGTTAAGGAATTCTTAATCACGTGGATTATTAATTATTAATGACATGAATTTCTGAACTCGATCAGGTTAATGTTTACAGTATTAAAATTTAGGGTAAAGTACAAAAAACTACTTCAACTATTGGTGTTACGACACTTTCATACCTCATCTTACGAATTTGTGCCAGTGTTAGACCTCCGTCAGTTTTTCTATTAATTTCTCTGTTAAATGCTGATGTGGCCCGACACGTGTCCCACTCACTAATCCAACTGGATTAAAAAGTAATTAAATATTCAAAAATTTAAAAAAAATATATTAAATCTCTCTCTCTCTCTCTCTCTCTCCCCTCTCTCCCACCCCTTCTTGCCTCTCTCTCTTCTCTGCATCCTAGAAGACCCAAAACCCCTTCCCACCCGTCCTCCACCACCCTTTCTCTCCCCTCTCTCTCGCCTCTTCCTCTCTTCTCTACCGTAGTCTCCTTCTTCCCCACTTCTCTCTCTCACCGTGCCTAGAACCGCCCAAACCCACCTTGGTTTTTTCATCCGCCAAACTCTTGCCCATTGACTCGTCCCCCTAAACTCTTGCCCATTGACCCATCCCCCCAAACTTTTGCCCATTGGCCCGTGTCCCCCCCCACTACTTCACAGACTTGGACGTCGTTGCAAATCAGACCAATTCCTAGTCCGAGTTCAGGTCGACACCGTCGTTCTGGGCGTCCAGGTGCAGATCGAGGGTGGCAGAGTGAGGTAGGTAGAGTAGT